ACCGAGATGACGTACTGCAGGTAGTTCAGGTTGCAGCAGATCCACTCAGAGAAGGCGGAGAAGAGCGCCATGATGGTCTCCAGCAGGCGGGCCATGGCGATGCTCTCAAAGGGAATGCTGTGCAGCGAGGCGAAGAGCTGCGGCAGGACGGCCGACTCGTTCACGTCGATGTTCTCCGCGATGGAGCTGAAGGCGTAGAGGACGGCCTCGAGGTAGCGGGCCGCCTCCTCCAGGGCCGAGCGGTCGGCGGCTTTGCAGGCGGCAAAGACCGCGCCGACGGCCTTGTTGAAGTGCTCAAAGAGCACCTTCAGCATGGAGCTGCGCAGAATGTTGAAGCAGTACATGAAGGTGTCGCCAATGTCCTGGCGGTAGCAGCGGAACTTCTCCCGCTCCTCGGCGTCCCACTCGTGCAGGTAGATCGCCTCCGGCGGGTACTGCACCTTGAGGAGGAAGCAGTTGATCAGCGAGTCGTAGATGTCCTTGAAAAGGGTCAGGTAGGTCTGAATGCGCCCCTCGTCTGAGCCCATGATGTCGTCCTGGAAGGTAATCCAGAAGTTGAACGGCTGGTCGCTGATGTACTCGTCGTGGCCGTAGTGGCCCGGCGTCGAGCTGCACCTCATGATAATCTGCAGCAGCTTGAGAATGACGGCGGTGTAGGCGGGCGCGTCGATGAGCGAGTCGAGCAGCAGACGGGTGTGCGCCTCGCCGATTTGAATGAAGAGCATGTACAGGTCCTTGCAGAAGTCGAGGTTGCCCTCCGCCGAGGCCTTCAGGATGACGCCCTCCAGGCCGATGGACATCTGCTCGATCAGCTGGAGGACGTGCTTCGGGTACTTCTCCATGTGGGGACTAGTGTACACGTCGACGATCGCCTCCACCGCCTCGTGGGAGGTGTTCTCACTGCAGACGGCATTCAGTATGATGGCCATGATGTTGGCGTGATGCTCACTCAGCACCAGCGTGCCCAGGCCCTGCGTCCAGTTGGAGAAGCACTTGGCGCCGATCTGGGTGATATTGTCGGAGATGTTGTCATCAGAGAGGACCTTGTGGACAATGAAGAGCACCGACTGGGCGTGCGACTGCAGCTCCGCCCTCACCTTGATCTTCTTCGTCTTGTCAATGTAGAGCGAGTTGAAGTCCTCCGGTATGGTGGTGAGTATCTGCAGCAGCGCAAAGATGACCTTGCTGGGCGGCAGGTGGGGCATCTTCTCCGGCGTCACCAGACTGACCACGTCGGAAAGGGCGGTCGGCCAGCTGCTGTCCACCGTCTGGATGACGTACGCCGAGAGGCAGGAGATCAGTTTCGTCGTGACGAAGTTGTAGTGCGGCGAGTTCAGGCAGGTGACAATCGACTCGACGATTCGCTGGCGCACCTCCAGCTGACTGCTCGCGTCCAGCTCGAAGAAGTGCTTCGAAATTTTGGTGTAGAGCGTGCTGGCGCCGAAGTACTGCACGTTGACGTCCTTCTCCTTCGCCAGCAGCGGCCAGACGAAGCTCCACGCCTCGTTGGAGCTCTGGGCGGCGGTCAGCAGCCGATTCGCCTCCTCGATGGTCTGCTTCTGGACGCCGTTGCAGCCGCTGGGCGCGTACAGGTCGCCCACCAGCCGCTCAATGTTGCTCACCACCGAGTCCATTCGTGTGTGTGTGTTCTTCTTCTTCAGTGGATGATGGCGAGCTGCGGTACAACAATGAATGACATCAGTGGAATGTAAACAGCGAACGGAGGACTCCACATGCCCCTCTCCCCTCTCTCTCGGTCGGGCAATATTTACGTGAAGGGGCGAGCTGAAGAGTTGTGTGTTCACTGGGACTGGTGAAGAGGATGATCACCACCAAGTATGAAATCACCCTACGCCACTAGAATCGGCAAATTCGGGTGAAAGTGCTGAAAGTGAATCGCCGAAACTTCAGCAGCAGTCATCAGAGAACTATTCGCACGCGGGGCGAAAACAAAAAACAAAAGCACTCTTGTCGAAATAGACTCGCAGATTTTAAAAAAACAAATTCTGAAAAAAGTCGTACACAAAGTTGCATCAACTGGTTACATCACATCACGAGCCAAAACTCCGCACTCATCTTATCATCGTCGTTATCAACACATCTACTCTTCTGCCTTAAAGTTCTTCAGCGGGTAGTGCTCGCCGTACTGCTGCAGGTGCTCCGTCAGCTCGGCCAGCTGCCCCCGCTGCAGGTCGCTCATGGTGTCGTAGACGTCGGTGAAAAGGTAGCTGATAGGCGGCTTCAGCTGCTTCTCCGTCTGGAAGACGACGTCGATGATCTCCTTGCGGACTGCCTCCTTGAAGCTGGTCGTCGCCGCCTCATCGTACGCCCCCTTCTGCTTGAGAAGCTGCTCCACCCGGTTGAGTGGGTGCTCCCGCTCCTGCCAGGTGCGCACCTCGTCGACGCTTCGGTAGGCGGTCGAGTCGTCCGAGGTGGAGTGGTGGCTGATGCGGTACGTCATCGCCTCGATCAGCACCGGCCGGCCCTCCTCGGTGGCAATTCGCCGCGCCTCCTTCACCGCAAAGTACATCGCAAAGACGTCGTTGCCGTCGACGCGCATCGTGGGAATGCCCAGCGCCGGACCTCGGGCGGCTAAAGTGTTGGGTAAGTGGAGAAAGCCCATTTTAGAGGCGAATCCTTTCAAATAATGACTCATTCAAACTTGCCAATGCCGTCTCCCTTGTACTGTTCAGTGGTGGGCGTCGAGATGGCGTACCCGTTGTTGCGGCTGCAGAAAGCAATTTATAACTTATTGATTATTATTTTCATCTCCGACCAACTAACCAG